ACTTATGCATAAAGCTATTTTTTAAAACGGAATTGTATTTTCATTAAATTAGATAAATTTTAAAAAAAATCAAAACTATTACATTTTCATCGCCATTTCATTGCAATAACATATGTTTAAGTTTCTTATTCAATAAATGATTTAATTTTAATTTTAATTTTTTGTTTGAAATTAATTACAAGTCTCTTTTCATTAATTCTTGCAATTATTTCTTAAAAAATTTTATATTTCAAATTTATAGTTTCCAGAAAAGAAAAAGAAAAAAAAAAGAAGAAAAAGTTATTTGCAATGGAAAGAATTATTGACAGTTCTAATAGCTTTTCATTTGTTCATCATTTTCGTTGCCATTATTACTATCATCATCATTATCATCATTATCCATCTCTTATCAATCAATAGGACATTCATATTTGTCGCATTCTTACAATATCTCAGAATGCTTTCTGAGATACTTACCAATTTTTTAATTTTAAAGTAATAGAAAATCCATTTTCAACGAGTATTCTTTCTTCAAATCGATTTTTCTTTTTATGTTTTATTACATAGCAAATTATTTTATTTCGAATACTTTTTTTTCTTTTTTTTTTTAAAGCATTTGAATCGATTTTTCTTTTTATTTTTTGAATTTTATTTAAATATTAACTTCCTGAATTTCTTATTTTCATATTTCGAATTAGCAAGACAAGCTTTTTATTTCTTTATCATTTTCATTTCCATTACTATCATCATTATCATCCATTTCTTGTTTTAACAAATCAAAGGAATAAGATTAAGAAAGGAAAAGAAAAGAGAAAAATAACTGAGGGAAGAGAGAGAGAGAGAAGAAAAAAAAGTTGAATTTTTGATTTTCATGGATTGTTTATGCTAATTTTTCTTTTTTTCACCCTAAAATAATCCAATTAAATTTATATCACAAATAATTTTAAATTAATTTTTTGTAAAACGAAAAAAAAAGAAATTTAAATTAATTTTTTTTTTTGTAAAACGGAAAAAAACGTGAAAAAAAAAGCAACTATAAATTGAACGATGCATTCATCAATTTCAAATACGGAATGATAATTTAACATACTAAATTCTGGATGACTATAATTATCTTGAACTATTTTAATTGTGACAATCATTTTTCATTTGGAGCTTTGTCATGTTTTGATTACAATTACATAAAAATTTTATAAAAATATTTCACGTTTGCTTAATTATTAAATCAATTTCACGTAATTAATTTGCTAATTAAAGGTACCATTATTCATAACGAGTAGTTTGCTTATTTATTACTTATCAGAAAATTAAAAATTGTAAAAAAAATTTTGCTTAAAAAACATGTAAATCAAATAAATTATAATAAGTTAGATTTTAACAATTTAATCAATTCTTTTCCAAAGAAAAAAAAAACGAATGGCATATAATATGATTGAAAGTATTCAATTAAAAATATTTTCTAAAAATTTTTCCTCTTTTTTTATGAAAAAAAAAGGGGAGAGAAAATTATGATTTTTAATATGACTGAATAATTTGACAATAGGAAATTAAAACTCTATCTATCATTTTGCAATTTAATTTCATTTCAAAATTTAAAATCAAAATATAATTTAATAAGTGCAATTATTTGTCAAGTATGATAAAGTGATATGGTAATAAGTACAAAATGCTCTGATATAGTTTTTTGTCTTAATTTCGTCATCATCATCTGCTTTAACTTTTTTTTTTCTCTCTCTCTGATATTCACTTATATATCTTAAATTTAGATAATTTAAATTTAAAATTCAGATAATTCAAAACAAAAACGAGCTCATTATCCGTGCTTGAGCATGATAAATATCATTTATTTCATCGCCATTTTATTTCGTTCAGTGATAAAATTAAGCTTGAAAATGTCACACAGTTGTAAAAAATTTCATAAATACATTTGCATTCTAACAACAATTTTAAATAAATACATTTTAATTATATATTTATAAATGACAAAAAAAAAACAATGTTAAAAATTTTATCATTTATTGATAACAGTGGAGAAAAAAAAAAAAGAAAGAAAAGGGAAAAAAGAAACTCATAAACAGAAAAAAATTGGAGGCAAAAGAAAAAATTAAGAAATGAAGAAAAGGAAATGGAAGATATGAGCGAAAAAATGTAAAAAGTTCGATATCAAATAAAAAAAAATAAAATAAAAATTGAAATAAGAAATAAAACAAAAATAAAATAAAACAAAACCACAAAATTTATTTAACAATTTAAGGTTTTTTTTTTTCTGAAATTTAAAGAATTTTTACATTTGAAAAAAAAGGATGAATGGAAGAAATTTTTGTTTCAACTTTTATTATTAAATATTTAAATTGTAATGAAAACATTTTAAGAAAATGAAAATGATCGATAAATTTGATGCATATGTGGTAAGTATGTTGCACAAATAAATAAATAAACAAA